TTGGGTCTGGCAATTTTGGTTCGTTATATCCAGGGTTCGGTATAAATAGGTTCGGTATAAACAGTGTCAACTGTATATGTTCTTAAAGGGTCCGTATTTTAACATTGACGGCCGTAGTTAATTACCAAAAAGATTGATTTCGAAATAACGTTGGTTTGTTGATGAAATGCTGTGTCAGCGAAATAACCTACGGGGAATAACCCTGTTGGCGAAATGGTTGTCGGTAAGTATTACGTCTACGAAATGATTATTATGATTGCCTTCTGTTCTTAAATACTTGACGGATAATGCCGGAGATATCGGTAAATTTCTAAATTTTTATTGTCGATTATATAGTTATACATGAACGTTACCCGGCATTAAAATTATTGACTATGCAGGGAGCGACTACACCTTTTAGTTGATCAAATGAACGTTAGAAATCAATAACTACGATTTTTATACAATACCGCATATGGTCATGGTAAGAACAACGATGTTTGAATAAATAGTCCGCAAGAAATTGACCAATGCCTTATCTGATTAGTGTACTGCCATGAAGTATTGCTTGTCTTGAACATGGATTGCTATAATCGTGGCGTCCTGCGCTCTTGCCAAGTATAGATAAAAATATGGAAACGTAATTTCTTGATACAGTTCATCGTCTGTTCATTCCGCTCTGATAGCCGTGCAATTGAATGATTAAAGGAAACTATAAAAACAAAGCCAGAACTTCAAATGTGTATTCACTTGTCTCGAGCAAAATTTATATTTCCTAAATCACAAATTGGCAAATACTGTACGTCCCTTTTCTGTGAAGCCAATATCTACCTTAGTTTCTGGCGAACTGAAACGGATTGTACAACACAATTTCTTTACGTCTTCGATTAACAAGGAGGAATCTAATTGAGCATCGCTATTCGCAGAACGAATAAACACATCTTCGCTGCTGAAAAATACGCAAATGGATTCACTCATTATTCAGTCCCAACAATGTGAATTTTGCCATTCGATTGTTCTATGTCATCTTGAGCTAATACAAACATAGTCTTGATCAATTACAGAATTACCGCGCAAATTATAAATTACCAAAGAGGGCATAGTTGAATTTTGATCTTATTGGTTGTGTTACATACATTTCCAGATGAGTAATTTAGTGCAACGCTTTGACCATTTTTGTGTAATAATTCTCGGTAAAGCTAGTTAGGTCGAAATTACCAAAAAGTATAGGACAATGGGAAGTGGTGTATGAAAGGATAGAAAACCCTTCTTAGCCATATTACTAAAAATTAATGCAAATTGTAATAAAAGGAAAGTTGGAACTGTGACAGGTTAAATAGAAAAATGCATTGCATGGTCTGCTACGGCTACGCTAGGCTGTGCAGCTTGAAAATGCTTCATGGGAAAGAAAAAAACGATTGTATTACAAAAGTAATTTAAATATAATATTTGTTAGTTTGTGCTCCTGTACGTCGTAATATTAATATATTATTGTGCTGTTAGACAAAGACTGTACAAATAATTTCTTTGTGCAGAAATTAATAAAACAAAGAAATTGTCTTTACTATCAGTGTTATGTCTGTTAATTATGTTAACAACGATTACTACTATGAGAAATTCTTTGTAAGTAAATTCCAATTATGCTAATAATTAGCATAATTAAAAGATGCATTTATACAAGTACGATCACAAATTTTCGATAATATTGAGTACGTTAGCAACAGGTAGCAGTCTTCATTCTGTTTTTCGGTATCGCGGAGATTCAATGCAGCCTTGATTATAGAGAGTAGATCAGCTTAGGAAAAGCGATCTTCGATTACTTACAAGCAAATTTACATTGAGCGAGTCGCTATCAAACGTCAAAAACAAACCAATTCATACTTGAATATTTTTTTACCTGATATGATAACGACTACAAGCATAGTAGGTTAAACTTACCGTGAATTCAGTTAAAGACTTAAGGGAACATACTTGCAAAGAAGACAACTTTATATTTACATATTAGCTAATTATTGTCATTTCGAAGCGTCCAAGTCAACTACGCAATACATGTATATTTAATAATTTAATAAGTCAACTCTGCTTGCATTAATTATTGATATAGAGCCACTGACACGCATAAAATGTTAGTTTTTTATGAATTCTACATTTGTGTTAATAATAGAATTGTTGTTAGCGATGTTAGCATGCCATGAAAGTTTCAATAACTCTGTGTTCGAGGAAATTATAGATGACTAAATTTTTTTATTATCTCATGAGTATTTACTGTGACTCGCAACGTTGGAATTCAAAACATTGTATGTGGATATTATCACTGTGATATTATTTAAATTATGGCTTATATTCAGAGTGGCGCAAGTAGTACACGACAAGATTGAAACGAATACCGAATTTGATTTTATAATTCCGATCTCATTACGACCAACTTTCTGGTTGTCTTTTAGTACTCGCATATCACGTAAATTAAGATACCGTCTATTCCAACAATCAGAACTCTCCAATCCATTGAGGCAAACCCACTGTTTAGATTTGAGTGAGGGGCAAAGCTCCCCTTTTAGTTCAACCCTAGTTAAAGATTCAAGAACGATAATTGTTTTGTTGTTTAATTAGGATAAGTGACGTAACCCGATTAGTCAACGGAAAGCTAATTCGGGATGACTGGGATATCAAAAATCAGATCGATAATCGACTGATAAATAACCGCCATCCATGTAATACCATAACTGGATATCGATAGCGCGTTGGACAGCATATGCCATTTACTATATATCGATAGATAAAGCTCGTTCATTGCGTCAGCAATCTAACCAACAAAGTATGCACTATTGTGGGTCATCTTTTTTCTAGTTTCAACTTTGATTGGTAATTACGGCGACTTTCCCAGATCTCAAGTTTGATTGAGGATCTCTATCTATGTCTATACCATTATGTTCGTAATACTGAATGTACTTTCGGCTAACTGTATCAGGAAAATCGGGTGCGATGCGAAGAAATGAAATGCTTCACTACTTGTACATTTTTAGTTGTTTTTTCTTTCTTGAGTGCCGAGAAAGATTTACGTATTTTACTTTTCAGGCCCATAAAAGCGATTACAAAAAGAAGACCAGCCAATTGATTTGCTACACGCAGTTGGAAGAAACAGTGTGATCAATGAAATTAAAGCATGACCCTGCAGCAAACTATCTTTTCTCGGAGAGCTTTTCCGGAAAATTGAAAGCTGTTGCTGCGGGGATGAAACACAAGACACAGATCATTGTAAAAAAATGCTTCGAGTAAATGTATTATGACACAAGAAAAGTAAATCATAAAGAGAGCAATGCAACCACTCTCCGATTTAGAGACGTAATGGGAAAAGCAAGGAAAATTGCAGGATATTATCCATAGCCCTTCATATTATAAGCTTGTGTACGTACGGAAAATACAATGATTCAATGTTATTACCGCTCGCCAAAAATAGCACAAGGGCTGTACTCTTTTTGTTAAACCGTTACCTTTTTGGGGCCCACAATATGTGGATTTACTACATTACTACGCTCAACGTGTCACGACGTCAGAAAATAAAGGTTGTCCGACATTGCACTGGATTACACGGAAATTCTAGAAAAACAACACGAACTAATTTTTCGATTCAAAAATCTGTATATAAACCCCCGCTTCAACGTCGTTGTCGTGTCTTATTGCACTTGTCCACCCGACAAGAAAAGAGCAATATCTTAATATCAACATGACTACATTCAAGGCATTGATCGCGATACTATTTACCCTCTTGTTTGTACAATTTGTCACGCCCATTGCTACGCGCACATCACAGACCGTCGCTGATGCTGTTAACGCAATTCGAAGCCAACTGGGACTTTCGTTTGTGAACGATAATCCGTAAGAAAATAACAGCTTTCTCACATTTAAATTTCATTAATTGATCCAATAGCAATGTTATTAATAGATTATCGTTTACGCTAACTTGCTTATCTTTACGTAACTACATTATTGACATTTTATTACTTTTTTTTTTTTTGCTTTCCAATATCTACTAGTATCTTGGACGATTATTCCTATAATTATCTTTATGACTGGGCTCAGGGTACAAAAACGACTCTTGTAGAAGGCGATGAGCTTATTCGCGAACTTGCTGCAGCCGGTTATAGCGCTTCGTGGGCTGGAATGACTTGGTCAAGAGGATATACGCCTGCAGAACTTGTGTATTCGTAAGTAAACATGCATGTTATTTATCCTTGATTATTTGATATTCATTTTTTTATACTAAAGGAAAAACGCATTTTTGTAACTGTTTCTTGCCAGGCTTTATGAAGATCCTGACGGTTACCAAGTCCTTAGTTCTAATTATCTTACTGATGTTGGTGCCGAAGACTTTGTTGCTAGTGATGGCACTGAGTATATTGTAGCCGTATTTGCCCAAGCAGCAGGATCCGGTAATAGAAAACGTGCAACGCTTGACGATATCATTGGTAATGCCAAGTTTGCAGCCAAGTCGGGAGACAATCGTTCCATTGCAAAAAGCTGGAATTCTAGCTCTTTCAATAGCACAAATTAATGTAGTAATAGTGCAGACGCAATCATAGTAAAGTGTAACGTCTATGTTTATTAACAATAATATGGTGCAGATGTTAGAAATTGCAAAGGTTATGGGACACAGAACGATAAGTTGACAATATTACATTAATTATAATAAACAATAACGTTCTTCTTCTTCTTTTTCCTCTTCTCGTTGTTGTTGTTGTCGTCGTCGTCGTTGTATTATTAAAAATAAGTCATCTTGTAGTACTGATTAAAACTTCTTAATCAACTAGCTGGTGAGTGTGTAGTGTAACAGCGACTTTGATCTTGTAATTTTTTTTTAATGTTATAGTAGTTTGGTGGTTCTAATTTCCTGATTTTTATGCTGAATTGTTTGGCTAAAATTTGGTATGGTAGTACTGTACCATGTTTGTTATGTGTGAATGATATTCTCTTTTTACTAGGCATGGGTAATGTTGTGTTATTGGGCTTAAAGTTATACAACTATTGATTAGATTTAGTATAGCTATCTGAATTGCAATTGTATAGTAGGTCCACTTTACCATTACCTGATCGCCAAATGTAAATAATATTTGATAAACTGTTTAGCTCACCAGTTTGCTATAATTTTATGCAGAAAATGTTCGATGCTTACTACGCGGTTGCGCACTCGCATTAAACTGTAACAGTAATGATAGGCTTTCCGGTTTCTACAAAGCCATAAGGTGAAATGTAAAAATATGAATTAACATGAAGACGGGTAAGTATTACATATACTATAACTGTTTAGGATTAATTGTATAAAAATTTAATCAGAGAATGACACTGGCAATTTATTAACTGTGAAAATGTAAATAATAATAAATTAATTAATATTTATTATAAAATTGTTGGATTATTCTAATACTTTTAACTAATTGTTACTGTATATCAATGTTTTGTTCGTTGAAATCATGCGTAACGTTTCGCTGACGTTACGAGCATCGTATGCGTATGGTTATGTTAACGTTTGTTGGAGTTTTATGGTTATCGTACAGCAAAGTTATGTTAACATTTGGCTAAAGTTACGAGCATCGTATGCAGATGCATATACTTATGTTAACGTTTTGCGTCGTACACTTAAACGCTAATGACGCGTACGATGCCCGTAACTTTAGCGAACCGTAAACCGGTAAGTTTGTAATACGGTAACAGTATGTCAACAGCTTGTTAACGCTGCGTTGATTTGAACTTTTTCGCGAGTTTTGCTAAGATGGTGCATCATCAATAAGAATCTGTCACACATCTAATAGAAATTACAAGACCAGTTGAAGTAGGAAATGTCACTTCAACTGTGTTATCAACATATTCATGCCTGTAGCAATCATAATTGCACTATTAGCAAGACTATGTTAAAAAAAGTGTTATTTAAGAACATGACACAAAGGATAATGCGACATACATGGGATGTCTAGGCTCGAAGAGCCATTGCTCCGCAATAGAAAAAGAGGCACGTAGTGCTTTGCTTCGCAAACATATCTCGAAATTATTCATACCAATAATGTGACTCGCATTTTATTTTATTGATAATACCAATATTAAACATGCATTTTTCCAGTTCTTGCAGTTTACTAAAAGTTTTCTCTTGTTCATTAAGCAGAGAATCAAATCTTGTCCTGAGTTCTGTAGTATCTCGAATCGAATGGTCCCATTGTAAACATCTCTGGATCAGTCTTAGGTTCGAAACAAGTATCAAGATCTTTTATCGCTTTTTTTATT